ACTCCTCCCTTGTCTGATGGAATTTGTCTTTCATCTTCTTCAGTAAGATATCATTATTGAAGTTTACACAAAACATGTTCAAAGTCTGGTTTTGAAATATAGTATGTTTAAATCTTTAGTGTGATATTACGCATTACTCCCATTTCATTCAAAGTACAACTTCATTTATTGCATTTTAACTATTTTAATCTGTATGAATGACATTAAATGCGGTACTATAATCTGTAATTTTGCATACACAGTATGTATACTTCCTCAAATTCTCTCTCTCCCTCTTTCTCCCCCACCCCCTTTTCAATCTCCAACGGTTACCTGTTTCTTACATTTACTTCGTTCTTTCTATTATCCTCCTCTCGATTCCCTCTTCTCCAACTCTCATTTTCTCCCATTTTCCTCTCCTGTTTTGCTATATCTCTCAGTGCAATATGTGAACATAGCTTGACCCTGTTTTAAGAATACTGACTTAATTATTTTGATTGCCATATTGTCTTTATGTTTTGATGTTCTAATAATAATAATCATAATAATACATAAGATTTTTTTTTGTCGCCAAATCCACTTGACAATCAATTGCTCAAGGCACAGCTTGTGCGAAAGATGAAATACGTGATAAATATAAACAAAAGTGCAATAGGAAAGTTACAGACACGAAAGGTAATGGTAATCAATTATAGGCTAAATTAAACAGATATTTCTTAATGTTATTTTGTAACACTTCACCAGAACTGCTTTTGTTTAAATCCATTGAGGAAGAGTATTCCATAAGGAAGGCCCAGCATGAGCGAAGGTTCACCCCCCCCCCCCCCCCAACACTTAGTTTTAACCCTAGGAATAACAAGTATGCCAGAGTTTTGAGAACGTAGCTGTCTAGAGGGAATGTAATGATTGATAATTGTTACAACATTGATGTGCAAGTACAATTATTTATATCATGTAATTCAGCCTACGGACTGCCAGGTTCAGTATTTTAATAAACCGTAAACCAAATATCGTGGAACATCGTTAAATATAAAGGAACTTTCAGTATTTTGAAATACACGATACACGATCGGGAGTATGAGTAAAATTGAATCAAAGCTAAATTTAAAAGAATCAAAAGGTTAAGCACAAACAGACGATGTGGAGCATTTTCACAAATGGGGGGGGGGGGGAAGGGGGGGGGGCACCATAAAAAATGACACTTTCTGGAAGATAAGGGGCACCTACAAAGGGAAACATCGAAATGTAAATCTACCATATTTAGACATTGGTTTGCCTATTTACCCCTACTTTTTCATGATTGAGATTGCATTAGCAGGGATGATTTCAATATTTGTTTCACTCTTTACATGGTCCAATATACTGTTTAAGAATCATACATTGCAGTTGGGTGTGATGGTCTGAATATTAAGAACATTTTAAGATTTGTGACGCCGCAGGGCGAAAAGTTTAATAATGAGAAAACGACAACAAATTCTGGTGGGTTTTAAGCAGGCGCGGATCCACGGGCCGATTTTACCGGCCCCTGCCCCCCCCCCCCTAGCCTCCCAAACCGGTAAAAAAAATAGGATAGTAACGTAGATTTTACCTTTAAACAAAATATATAAAAAACGCCCCCCCCCCCTGACCTGCCAGTGACACAAATGCGGCATCAAAATATTTGTGCTTCTCTGACCGTAATTAAATGCCTTAAACCCCTGATCTTCAGGGGGCTCCGCCCCCTGAACCCTCACACCAATTTACGCTCGCTACCCTCTACCTGATCGTAAATACTTTTGCCCCCCACTTTCATAAACGTTCCGCGGGGCCTGTGTATATAATATACTGTATACGTATACAACACTGATCTTTATGATGTCTTTAACGTGACATATCTTCTTCTCCCCTTGCAAACGAGAAAGAAAACAAGGTCATTAAAAGGGATTAAGCGACAAACAATGATTGTGATTCAAATCGATGCGAATATTTGTTTGAATAAGCACTGCTATTCATCCGAATCTTCTTTGTAAAAACAACTTTTACAAATCTCAGCCATGCTTACTGAGTTGAGACGTTCCATTCAATGTAAAATATTCATTAAAGAATACACTTCTCCTAATCTGAAAGTGATCTTACAACACAGTGGCAGAATTGCATGGCTGAGATTTGTCAAAAGTCGTTTTTACAAAGAAGATTCTGGTGAAAAGCATTGCTTATTCAAAAAAAAAATCCTTGCATCAATTTGAATCATAATGATAATTTTGTCGCATGATCCTTTTATTAAATAACCTTCTTTTCTTTTTTGTTTGCAGGGGGAGAAGAAGCTATGTCACGTTAAGAAATCATAAAGATCAGTTGTATTATGCGTATATAATGACAACAGAACAAAATGTTGATTATCAGAATGTCATTTTGGAATACCTCTAAACAAATGCCCGATGTTACTGTGCCGACACCACATTGTCTATACCCCGTATCAGTATTAGTATGAGCCAATATAAAGTTATTTTTTATTCAGTTCAGTATAATGCTTTTCCTCAAAAACAGTTTCGTTATTTGTTTAGGGTCGAGACGCTAACAAATGGTTTCAAATGTACATTACACAAACCCCGAACCATTGCATAATGATGGTGGTTCTCTCTCTCTCTCTCTCTCTCTATTTATTTTAATCATGCATTATCAACTACATATAAAGCAGCAATAAAAAACTTAGGGTTATCTGGAATAGGTGAAAGTGAGAGTAAAAAAGAAAGTCATGCTAAAACGTCGCTTCATCTCCTCCCCCCCGAAAAAAAAATTAAAAAATAGTGGTCCTCCTCTCCAGCATCACCCCCCCCCCCCCCCCGCTTTAATATTCACCGGCCGGCTGAGTCGGCGCAAAAATGTTCCCAAAACACTGGACCCCCAAAACAAATGTCCTCTTATCCACCCCCCCCCCCCCCCCCTGCTCATTCGCCGTTCGCCGGCTGGCTGATTCGCCGCTAAATATTTTTCTCAAGATTTGCCCCCCCCCCCCCCCTCCCCCTCTTGCCGCGGACTGGATCCGCCCCGGGTTTTAAGCACAATTCAATCATGAAAAACTGAAAATACATTTCATAATTATTGTAACAATTATAAATGCGAGTGAGCTTTGGGGTCTTATGTTATGGAGAAAAGAAAAGGGTTACCTTTCAGAAAGAAAAGGGATACTTATTAGAAAAAAGAGGGGTAAATGTCATAACAAACCTCAAACCTGAAAAGGGGCACTCACCAAAGATGGAAAAGGTACTTATGAGAAAGGAAAAGGGGCATTTGTCGAAGAAAAAGGGGCACCTATCAGATTTTAATTGGGGCTTTTATCGGAGGTGAATAGGAGTATTTATGAAAAGGTGTAGGGGCTGTTATTAAAAAGAAGGGAAAAGGGGCATTTATTAGAAGGAAATAGAGTAATCAATGAAAAGGGGACACGTGTCAAAATAAAAGACGCACATATCAGAGGTGAAAAGAAGCGCGTATTAGAAGGGGAAGGGGAACTTTTCAAACGAAACATTTGCCCCCCCCCCCACCTCCTCGGGGGCGCCGCCCTGAGCACACAGCTGTTACATGCATGTCTTTATTTCCCAATCTGTTTTATTTCCTTCTTTTGCTTTGTTTTCCTTTTGATGATTTTCTTTATTTCCTTTTCTATGTGTTTGGCAAAAATGTTTCCTTTAGTTCACCTTATCCCATTTTTATCTCTAGCCACTTTCTTGACATTATTATTTGTACCTCCTCTCTCTTTCTCTCTCCCCCCCCCCTCTCTCTCTCTCTCTCTCTCTCTTTCTTTCACGCTCACTAATTATATAAATCGAACAAAGAAGAAAGCCATGAAAATCGAGATCGGTAACTTTCTCCTTGTCGAGTTGGTCCTGATGTTTATAATTCATAGGCCAGGGGTTCCCAAATTAGAGTTGTTATCGATCTTAAAAGTCAAATAGCCCTTTCATTTCATTTTAAAAATAAAATCTAATACACCCCTTGGTAATGAGCACAAAAAAGCCCTCATATTTATAGGCAGTAAATAGCAAAACACGCATTTAAAGGGATAGTTGAAATCTGTTGCAGAGGGTGCTACACAAAATAATTTGTTTGTGAGATAATGAAAAAATGAGTGTCAAATTTGAAAGAACATAGTTTTATTGACGGAATCAGCTTTGTTTGATCAAAATTGGTTCAGAGACGGCTGACATAACGATTTATAATACCACCACAAATATTAGATAATTTGAACCAGCCGTTGAAAGTCATTGGAGCCAATGCCGATCTTGGCTTTTTTGTGGCTTTTTCGTGTTGGTTATATTTCGCACAATCAGCCGGCTCATGTATTGTTATTATTTTTCAATTAATTAATTAACAGTCACCGTATTTTGGGGAAAGTGGAGCTAAATTGGTATCATCGTATTGGCTAAATTTCACACATGTTGAGGTCTAAACTTCCCTTCATAGCAATTTTAGGTCCTAAAAGGGCACTAGAAATGTCATAGATAAGAATACGAGCAATAACCATGCACGTTGAAGGTATTTGCGATCTGAAAACAGAACTCAACTATCTCTTTAATACTGGACACAACATTCAATGGGATTATGCCCAGATCATTGAGTTTGAAACGCACTCCTGGTCAAGAATGGTAGAAGAGGCATAATTTGCATTAAAAAAAGATGAATTCTTCGCTGAAAAGGGATTCTTGCTATACATTGTTACCTTTCTTCGCTCCAGTGATCTCGAGGCAGCAGACAGCAAAAGAATGTGTAAAGCCTTTGCCGGGAGTCTTGGGGCGGAGCCCTAGGAGGTTCTTGAACTTAAAAGAAAAAAGGAAATTCAAAATGGTCGTTACGTGCGATATAGATTGTAATCACTTCATACAAGTTGAACCCATTTATGCAGTCACAAAGTCTCTAAAGGCTTTTAAAAGAACACGTTTTGCCTTCTATCTCATAAACTCCAAAATGTCTGTTATGCTGTTTTTTCAAGGGGGGGGGGGGGAGGTGTTTGCTCACTTCGATTTTTTGGTGGGTTGTGCTCATGCGTGACTTGTCGCTGCTCTGCATGTCACGTGATCGCTTGGAAGCGAGGAGAGGAAAATCGGGTGACAAAAGACCTGTATAATATATTCACCAATGTTTTGAGAGCGGGCATTTATACGGAAACAATCCGCCGGCGTTATACACAAAAACACTCCAAAGGTGGATATTTCGATTGTTGGCGGTTTAAGTACTTTTGACGAGTGAAATCAACTTTTGACAAATGTAAGAAGGATCGATTTTTAATCGAAGTGTAAATGCAGCTTATAGATTTTCGCCTTCATCTAGAATCAAACTTGCGATACTAGTATATAGTTCAATCATTGCAACAACAAAAAATGGCTGTTCGGCACCTCGGTGAGTTTGTCGTGATTGTATACCTGACGTTGGTCACATCTGGGTCCTCATACGCGGAACAATTACCCAATGTCGTGTTTATTCTCGCTGACGATTACGGATTCAACGACGTCGGCTACCATGGTCAATCGCACGGGTCTGCGATACTGACGCCGAACCTTGACCGGCTCGCAGGCGAGGGTGTTAAGCTAGAGAACTACTACGTTCAACCGATCTGCTCTCCAACGAGGAGCCAGCTCATGTCAGGGAGATACCAGGTAAAAACCAGGAATAATTAATCTTTTTTTTTTGTCTTTGCCTCATCAGAGGATTGATTAGATATACATGGTTTATTTTACTTTACTTACTTAATACTTACTTTACTTTACTTACTTAATACTTACTTTACTTTAATACACGATGTTGTAGGTCTAAGTTTGTTCATTGATCCAAGATTCTTCCATGGTTACTATTTGTGGAGGGAGGAGATTGTGTAATAACATGAGACAAATCATACTTACATAATCACAAACGCATCATAATTGGCATAACAAAGAAATGAATTCAAGTTTATGCAAGGCAGTGTAGCCTTGTTGTCAACCCGGTTGGTTAAGTGGCCTGGGATTTTTAAATGTTCATTTTTGTCTGGGGAAAATAATCATGAACACCGAAACCTCTTATACATTTAATGACGAATTTGGGGTATTGCTCCAAAGGGGTGGGCGTGGGGAATGAATTTGCCATTTTCATTTCTGAATATTTCCCGGACGGGATTCACTAAAGGCTTCTTGTGGTTCTGAAAAAGGAAGAGTTCGCAGACCAGTGTTTTACTCCCATATTGTTTTAATATATATTTCAGTATTCACCTTGGATTTGCCTGAAGCAGAAAGGAGCGACATTATGAAAATGCCTTAATATGCCTTTATTTCCAAGTTTTAACGTCTTCCGATCACACTAGCACAACTTCACTTTCAAAATGAATTTAGTATATCTTTGGATGCCATTTTTGAATGACAGTTTTTAAAGGTCGATCGTATACTTCAACCTAAGTAGAACAACGTACAGTATGATTGCTGGAAAGCTGGGCACGACTCAAGCCTTACTCAATTTTGTTTCAGACTTAGACAATCTATTCCTAAATTTTACAGTAATGATACTTGCATACTGTAGAGAATGAGGCTTGTTTTATGTCTATATCTGATCAAAGGAGAATCGTTAGTTTTTACAAAAAAATATAGCCGCTAATGCATCCAATTTTCTGGAATTTGAAAGAATTTTCTTACAACCTTTAAAATGCCTCTTATACATGGATTTTATATTTCAATAAATTGCTATGACGTTCAAATAAACATATATATATTTTATGTTGTTATGTATATGAATTATTTATTGGGCTCATTTTGCCTTCTAATGGATCCGTACAACATGGCAGAACTTGGGGCCTGAAAGAGCCCCTGTCAGGGTTCCGGGCAGAGCCCTAGGACCCTCTCGAGTTTTAGCAATAGGCCAGTTTCGTAATGTAACCACATTTAATGCATAAGTCTTTGTAAAGTGCCTCAATACAAATTATTTTATTTACCTGATAAGAATAATAGTATTTCAATAGACAGAATCCGAACTGCATACATTAGTTGTTGCCAGGTTGGACAAACATTATGGCTCGACCTACCTAGCAACACTTATTATTATTATGTGCATTTGCATTCTGACTATTGACATTCTATTATTCCTAGCAGGTGAATGAAATAATTTGTATTGAGGCACTTCACAAAGACGTATGCATTAAATTTGGTTACATTATGAAACTGGCCTATTCAGAACCTATAGATGACCATCTAGACCGAAGGAAACTCAGTGGCCCGAATTCACAAAGGAGGTTTGTCGACAAACCTTGGTTTTCGTACGTCATATGACGCGTTTTACGCGTTTTTTACAAACCTGGTTTGTAAAGAACAAAAGGAGGTTTGGCGAAACAAAAGGAGGTTTGAGCTCAAACCTTGCTTTGTGAATTCGGGCCATACTCTCTCCTAGGGACAATTGTATACAACATCGGGTTGTTTTTTCTCTTCTCCAGTGATCTCGAGGCAGCTCCTTTCAAAGAGCACAATAAGCCCTCCGACTTAGCATTCCATCTCATCGATCAATAACAGAGACGCCCTCAACCCATTGCCTATTGGGACCGGTTGGCCCCTGTATTAAGCCAATGGGTATGAATGAATTCAGCAGTCAATGGGTTACTACTGGACACAACTTTCAATGAGATGATGCCCATGCACAGTATTTCTTTGATCCATCTAGATACAGAGGATTAATCCTTTACTGAATAGGTACTCTTGCTTTACATTATTGATACATTTCTTCGCCCTGGTGACCTCGAGGCAGCAGACTGCAATAAATTGCGTAACGGTAACAAATAAAGTCCACAGGAGTGGTTGTTAAAACTTCATTCAGCAATAACAGACACGCCCGATATAAATTTTATTTTTCTTCTTGAAAGTCAAATAGCCCCTTTCATTTCATTTTAGAAATAACCTCTCTTTCTCTTTTAACGGTATAGACTGCTTTTGGAAACGCCCCCCCCCCCCCTCTCCCCCAAAAAGATTTGGAAGCTCTTATTACCAATCTAAATGTGAAACATGTTTTGACTAATACGTGATGATAATTATGTAAAATCTATTCATTTCTATATACATGCACATGTTTTCTATAATTCTTCACTAATAACAAAAGAAAACACTTTTTGGCTCAATCTTGATATCCACATGTATTGAAAAGAATTTACATCACATTAACGCTTCGGCATTCTGCATGGTATTCTGAAAAAGAAATACTTGAGGATTTACAAAACCGGCATGTCAGTTTAATGGGCATCCTGACAATTAAAAAAAGATCGCGACGGTAGCCAGTACAGAAACGGTCATAGCTCATTTAAACACCCCGTATTCAGCACTCGCGTCGCCGTTTGAAAACTCCCTATTATTGGTCTCGTGGGCTGTCTATATAATCCCAGCTATTATCACAAGCAGGATTTTTTAGTGATCTTTCTATGATTATGTTGAAATATTTGTCTTTATCATGACACTAAGCAGACAGGTGGAGGGTGTCATACACAATTTAATTGTATGTAGGAGGGGGGGGGGACACCTACCCATGCTCACATTTTTCCAAAACATCACACAGAGTACAGAGGTATACTTATCAATTGCACTCAGCACTCTCCTGGCCTAATCCTTTGAACTGTCTGGACTGTCTGCATTACTTTATTTGTGTTTGTTGATGGTCTTGGTCATGGACAAGAATATGATAAGGGGCTGGAGAGGCGGGGATAGTGGGGGGGGGGTGCAACTGCCAATGCCCACATGTCCTGAAACATCCCAAATTACATAATAAGTACTTATCATTTGCACTCAGTGACTCAGCACTCCAAATCCTTCGAACTTTCTGCACTACTAAATGTCCAATCACTTTTGTTCATTCAATATACCGAGATACTGGCCAAAATTATTTCGATTATTTTCATTATCCATCTTTTGACACCAAATTAATGGTGATTAGAGGTTTTACTTAAAAGTTATCTTTGAAACACGCGCAGGTCCACAAAACACTAAGACATGTATATGCATACAGTTAATACACATGTGGGCAATACTGTTGTTTTTGTGAAAATCGAATCAATAACATTGGGTTGACGGTTTCCCGTCAACATTTTTATCATCATGTATTATTCAAAACATATTCTTTCCCATGATTGGTAATAAGAGCTTCCATTTCATTTTTTGAAATTGGGGCGTTTCCAATACTTGTCTTTACCTTTAAGTAGAACAACGTACAATATGATTGCTGGAAAGGTGGTCACGACTCGAGCATTACTCAGGTTTGTTTCAGACTTTGACAATCTACTACTAAATTTTACAGTAATGACACTTGCATACTGAAAATAATGAGGCTTGTTTTATGTCTATATGTGATCAAAGGAAAATTGTTACAGTTTTTAAAAAAACAGAGTCGCCAGTGCATCCAATATCCTGGAATTTGAAGGAATTTTCTTAAAACTTTCAAAATGTCTCTTACGTGGATTTTCTATTCGGATAAATTGCTATGACGTTTAAATATTATACATAAATATATATTATGTTTCTATGTATATGAATTATTAAATGTGGGCTTATTATGCATTCTAATGGATCCGTACAACATGGCAGAACTGGGGGGCGGCTTAAAAGAGCCCTAACTGCCAGGGGTTCCAGGCGGAGCCCTAGGACCCTCTCGAGTTGTAGCAATTCAGAACCTATTAGATGACCGTCTTGAGCGATGGAAACTCACACTCTCTCCTAGGAACAATTTTATACAACATCGGGTTGTCCTTTCTTTGCTCCAGTGATCTCGAGGCAGCTCCTTTCAAAGAGCACAATAAGTCCTCCGATTTAGCATTCCATCTCACTGATCAATAGCAGAGATACAACTTTCAATTGCCCCGTTGACCTCGAGGCAGCAGACTGCAAGAAATTGCGTAACGGTAACAAATAAAGTCCACAGGATTGGTTGTTAAAACTTCATTCAGCAATAACAGACACGCCCGATATAAATTTTATTTTTCTCCTTGAAAGTCAAATAGCCCCTTTCATTTCATTTTAGAAATAACCTCTCTTTCTCTTTTAACGGTATAGACTGCTTTTGGAAACGCCCCCCCCCCCCTCCCTCTCCCCCAAAACGATATGGAAGCTCTTATTACCAATCTAAATGTGAAATATGTTTTGACTAATACGTGATGATATGTAAAATCTATTAATTTCTATATACATGCACATGTTTTCTATAATTCTTCACTAATAACAAAAGAAAACACTTTTTGGCTCAATCTTGATATCCACATGTATTGAAAAGAATTTACATCACATTAACGCTTCGGCATTCTGCATGGTATTCTGAAGAAAAAAATACTTGAGGATTCACAAAACCGGCATGTTAGTTTAATGGGCATCCTGACAATTAAAAGATCGCGACGGTAGCCAGTACAGAAACGGTCATAGCTCATTTAAACACACGGGATTCAGCACTTGCGTCGCCGTGTGAAAACTCCCTATTGTTGGGCTGTCTTTATAATCCCAGCTATTATCACAAGCAGGATTTTTTAGTGATCTTTCTATGATTCTGTTGAAATATTTGTCTTTACCATGATACTAAGCAGACAGGTGGAGGGCAGGCGCGGATCTACGGGGGGGGGGGGGTTAGGGGGTTTAACCCCCCCCCCCCTTGGGCGGCCAAAAAAAAAAAAAAA